ATTTTCGAATGCGTGAGATTTATGGCTCACGTGGCGTGAGACATGTTCCAGAGTGAGTAAGGACGGCTCAGCGTGATATTTTGTCTCACGCCGTGATAGTTGGCAACCCTGATAACAGTACTACTGTCTACTCACCACAACAGAGCCGAGTATATTCCAGAGAATCGAGTATGGGATTCCGACCCCGAGCACAACCTGTTCTAGGACGTTCAAACTGGTGCCCTTCCTCAATACCAGGACTACCATGCTCACCTGTAAAACACACACAGCATACTTCAACAGTATAACAGTATCTCTCATCAAACACACCTGCAATTATTTCTGTCATGCAAAATCACATTTTCTCCACATGATTATATTTCCCTATTGCCATTGACTTTCAGCTTTTGATGTTGGTATTTGTTCTTAGATCCATTTGATAAATGTTTCAGTTAAATTTAACATATATGGTCAGTCTTTGAAGCAAACAGGAATATCTGTTCCCCTTCAGTCAATCTCATTCATCTGTGGCTTCCCAAACATAAAAAACTTTGAGGTGAATGTTTTACTTACCGTTACTTGAACATCAAATTTCAATGCACAGGAAAATATTGAAGCTTGGGCATAAAGATCTGAAAAATTAAAAGAAGGATGATCTAGACATATTGACAATTGTCTGATTCCTGGTTCTGGTTGTAGTTTATTTAGCCACTTTTATCATACACAAGAAATATGTTAATGATATTTAAACAAGGGAAACCAGCGGAAATCTAATCTTATAATTTTCGTAAAATGGTCTTTTTGTATTTTCTACTCAAACAAATAAATGCTCCAATTGACTGTTGGAATATATTGATCTGTTACATACAAGCACAAGATGATTATTTTAAGCAGTATGCAATGTGGGAGACATCAATGTGGGAGACATCATTGTGGGAGACATCATTTAGGATTGCTTACAGAGATTTCTTTTACCTAGTTTTACAGTCGAATACACGCTGTCCCCCTATTTTCCCCAAAAGATGAACAAATGAGAAATATCTTTCCAATGTTTATGAAAGTAATACTATATTTTCCCAAATTCTACAGGAACAGGCTGTTGTAATATTTATGTAGAAAAGAATCACTGGCTTATACTGACGCTGTAGAAATTCTGAGGCTCCCACGATCCTGAATTGCAGGTAACCAAAGTCACGAGCCACTGCCCACGCTAGGACGATGTTTGGAGGGGCCAACACACACGTCAGTATCATGCGTACCTGTTGTCAAGAAATTACTACAATTAATCAAATGATACAGAAGCGGTTTCTGAAATCCATGTTTGTTTGTTTATGAACCACAAATTTATAGGTAATTTCTTTTACAGGAGTTAAATCAATTAAATTAACAGTACATATTTTTTAAGAGGGGCAGCCAAAGTCTAAGTACCATTATATATATATA